AAAAAAAATGGAATAATTAGCACAATAGGAATTTAAAAAAAAAAAATTTTTTGGAACAATTGGGTTGGTGGGTTATGCAAAACGAAAAATTAACTTTGCGTGGTTCTAACTGCTTCAACCGAACCCAATATTCCACGTTCCTGGTTCTAGCACGACTATATCGTGCAGCTACCCTAATTAAGAGTTCACTGTGATACTGCTTCATGTGAAAACTTGAGGCATTGTGATAGTTATAATTATGCTGAACAATAAAATGTAAGATTTTGCATCTGTATACCATTTCTCTTATGTGTAAGCCATGCTCTTCATTTTACTCTGTTCTTGGTGTATACTTCGTGATATTTGCATATCATTTCACTTCTAGTAAATTCAGACTCAGACTAGTCTGCAGACTTCGGACCAGATCCGGACCAGACTCAGACTTGACTAAAAAGTTTGGATATAAAAGTTTGAGTTTGGTCCGAAAATCAGACCAGACTCAAATTTGACTAAAGTCTGGTTCGAGTCCAGTCCGTAGAAGCACTACCTGCAACCTAGCTAGGGGGTTACCCATTTAAACCCTCTGCGTCTATGTACTCCGAGTCTCATATCAATTGGCACCTTTTCTCTGGTTTCTACAAACCAGTTCTTCTTGATACACTTTTTCATATATACTGACCTAGAACTACTTTATCCTCAAGGTAAACCTAGCAGAGCCTGCAGTATTCTCACTTTATACCACATCTAGCCTGTACTTCAGTTTGGTATATACAGACCGTGGCCTACCACTTGTGGCTTAGTTACCCTATTCTGGAAGTGTAGATGGTGTCGGGTCGAGGTTATTGCCTATGGTTGATTCCTCAACTTATATTTTCTCTTGCTTCCTTTTTATGATTTAATTCCAGTTTTCAGCTGAACTTCACTACCCAAACCTACTTCTGCTTTTGTAGAGTTCACTTAAACCCTAGCACATACTTTACAGATTATTACTGGTATTTTCAAATATTCCAAACTATCAATTCAGATGGCTCAAAAGGGCTGTGATCTGCTACTGGACCCTACGGTTAGGTCTTTTTTCTCTGGTACTTCACCGGTAGCCTGATTGGTGGAGTGCCTTGCCTAATACTTCAGTTTCATTCAGTTTGGCTGGTTCTTCTAGTAATAATCCTTTACATAGTACTGTTGAAAATCTGTGCTACCTCTCTACTCAGGTCTTGCCAAGCAGGCGTCCATCTTTTCGGTTCCTTGATTTTACAATAATCTGAAATTTTTCGTATAACTTATATATCACACGAGTACCCTATGATCTCCCAATCTCGTTAGTGCCACCAAGGTTACAGAAATCCTATTTCAACTAATCGTCAAAAGACAGTAGTCATCGTATAGATAGAATATTTGAAATTCGTCGCCAGTAGGTTTCGAACTCTCTACCTATTTAACATACCGCTTGGAGGTGTAACAACTTAACCACTTAACTAAGTCGCCACACCCTAAAATTGATTTTTTATATATATTTACTATATACTGTATTTCTATATATTTTATATTAAAATTAAAAATAGTAATTTTTGTATAAGCATGGTGAAAATAGCAATTTATAATAGTGAAAATAATAACCTTTTTTTTTTAAAGTTGGGTTAGAATTAGAGATAGAATTGATAATTAAAGAGTATATATAAATTCTAGCAAGGCTTATATTTTCAAATCGAATCCCTATATTTCAGCATCAGCCATGACATAAATTATTCAGTCAAGTGAGTTAGTTATACTGATTGGCTAAAATTTAATATTCATGTTTTGCAATGACAAAATTACTATAAGGTTTACTTCAATTAATTATAGTACTTGTGCACAATCTCTAGAGCTAATTACAAAGATGTTTGAGATTACCCATATATTTTGATTTATGAAATCTATAAAAAAAATAATATTTTAATAATCGACAATTTTCTTATATACAGTTTTGTATTTAAAAAATATATAATATCAATATGCACCTATTGCAAAAAAAAATCAAATTATTAACATGATGATAGGGTATTCAATATATTATATAAATCAAATTATAATCAGGTTGCATATTTAAAGATTTTTCACAGGATTTTTTAATAATTTCAGAAACTTCAGAAAATTTAACTTTTATTTATTATTTTTTATTATTTTTTTTATTTATTAAACAAATTCTTAAATCTAAATGTTAACTGTTTTTACTATCTTATTTGTCAATTATTTTTTTTATTTATTAAACAAATTTTTAAACAATTTATTAGCTTCTATTTCTCCAAATATTATCTGTTCTTCATCCTGTTTAGCTAGTTTTTTTTTTATTTTTTATTTTATTTTTTCTTTGTACTGCCAATTCTTCATTAAACAGAAAAATTTGCTTGATACCTAAAAGGCGAAGTTTGGCTTTTTAGTTTTAAAATTCATGTTTGAATGATATTTAAAGTCATACTTATTGAATAAACCTTTGATCTGTTGTTGATGAATAATTATATAATAAATTCGACATTTAATGAATTTATAAAGTAAAGGAAAAGTATGAATTAGTTTATCTAAATTAGTAAAATTAAGTAATTCATCTATAAATAATAGATCCTTCATTGCTTGTAATAAACCAAAATCATTAAAATTAGATTATTCAATATCTAATTCTAAAAGTTTTGTAAAGCATAACTCTCTGAAACTAGAAACTTGATTTCATCATCTTTTTAGTCTTATATACAGATAAATTCTAGCAAACACACAGCTATATTTACCACCTAATCGATATATGTTTAATAGAAGGTGAAGCCACATACTCATCTATTTATCTAAAAAAATTATAGCTTTGTCAATACCGGACTCCAAATTATTAAAAAAGTTTCTGAAATCATCTTCATTTAAAATATTAATAGCATTCTATAATTCTTTATCAAAGATAAACAAATGTTATCTTTAAGTCAATATAAATTTCCTATCTATTTAATAATAGTGTTAGGCATTTCATAAGCTTTTCGACCAGGTAAAAGTAATGATAATTGCCCATCGAGTTGAAGAATTCATGGTTTTTTATCAAATCCAATAAAAAAATTCATAATCGGCTTATAAATTTGCTCGCCAAATTTTACAAGATATTCGATTTATATTTTTAAATTTGGATCTATAAGCTATTAATAAAGAAGCTCCCAATTTTTAAGATAAGTTTTTGAATTTTTTTTTTGTAATTTTAGTCTGTTTAAAAACCAAAGAGCAAATTTTTTTAAATATTCTCTTCTTTCAACTAATTGTCTCGCTGCCTGCAGCTCGTATAGCCATCATTGTCTTAAAGGTTTTTGAAACTTAATAAACTGAATGCTGAATAATTTAAAATACAAATCAAAAATATGATTTCATGTTCATAGAGTTATCTTTGTTGCTTTCACTATAATCATGATGTAATTTTCAAATAAAGTAAAGTAGATTATAAGGATATTTTTGGACAGAGAATCCTTTTTCAACTTTTAATTTTCCAAATGCAGTATTTTCAAAATTTATCATCATAATATGTACTGCATGAAGTCTGCAAGAAATTCAAAATGAATGTGAATTAACTTTCTTATTAAATACTACTGCACTATTTTTAGAACTGGATATATATGCAGTGTTATTAGTCATTCAGATTAGACACTTAGTCAGATCTAGTTGATATTAATTACAGAATTTAATAACCATATATGCAACCGAAATTCTAGAGCATTGAGCCAAATCCTCAAGTTCTAATAAAGTAACTTTTGGTTCATTAGAATTTAGATCTCAATACATAAAATATATCACAAAAACCTTGCTATCTCTATATGTCGATTCATCTGCTATAATCTCAAAAGTAAACATCTAGAGATTTGGGCAATAGAATATTGTTGAAATATATAAATATTAGATATATCTTGATGCTATCTGACAAGTGTACTAGTAAAAAACTAGTTATCAGGTTCCTCATCGATTAACCATTTAACTACTTTTTTTGTATAAGCTACAGCAGATCGATATGATATTTTTCCAATTTCACAAATTTGTGTAGTATAGTAACCATTTTAGTACTGTATTGCATTTTATTTTCTATAAGCCAACTTTGAATTGCTAGTTTTAATTGTTTATTAGTTATTGTAGAAGTTTTAAATACTGCAGAACGAATTAAAGAAATTTTTTTTTTATGTATTTGTTTATTTTTTCTGATTTTACTATATAATGATTTATTAATCTTTTTTAAATGATTATTTTTTCGAATATATGAACGATATATTAATATTTTAATAAAATTGCAGGCTTTTTGCTACAAATGTTTTGAAAAAATCTTTCTAACATTAGGCCTTTTTTTATATCTCATGAGCTTTAATAACGATATACTAAGGTTTATGTCATTATTACCCATATTTTTTACAATATTTAAAAATGCATTTCACATTTTTAAATATTTTGGTTGATTAAGTTGTTCTTGGGCAACCTTTTTAATTATATCTATAAATATTGTAAGAATTAAATCTGGCAAATCAATTATATACTCAAGAAGTTTATCGATTTTTTGCTGCCAAATATCAATTTCTTGAATATTATCAACCTCTTAAATATCAATTTCTATATTTAATAATTGTAAATGTTCTATATTTAATACTTGTGAACATTCTATATTTAATAGTGGTGAACTAATCAATATATTATCATTGTTTTTATTCACACTACTATCAATTTCTATATTTAATAGTTGTGAACTTATTAATATATTGTCACTACTCTTCTTCACACTACTATCAATTTTCTTTTTAGAAAATTGACATTGTTCACGTGTATTTTTTAATTGCTTACATTGTTTGAATGTTGTTTTGATACATAACATTGTTTTAATTTTATTATTTTTTTAATTTGATAGATAAAGGTATAATTTTTGAGTTAAGAATGCAATATTTTATGACAAATTTTTTTTTATTTTGTAACCTTTACTTTGTTCTTTTTGATGACAATCTTTGTTTTGTGAAATTTAATAAATTTATTATTGTCAAAATTCAAGTGAAATCGGCTTGTCCTTTTGTAGGATCAACTACCCATAAAAACAATAAATCAAAAAACTGCCATTGTTATGTTATCCTAAGCAAGTTAATATCTTTTTTTTCAAAATTAAACTGGCAATTATTATGTTAGTTCGAAAGAAAACTGTACCGAAAGTTACTATTAGTCGCAGTAATTTCGGATTTTCATAAAAATTTTTATCATATGCACCCTAAATAATGTTTGATTTAATTAGTTTGTTGAACACCCTAACGCGACGATCATCCTCCTGGATTCGTAATAATGCCCTAATGACTTGGTGCTATAGTGATAGTGATACGTATAAAAATATTCCCTTTTATTTAAAAAGAAGAATATACATTCAACTATATATCCCATATCAGATATATATCAAAAAGACGATTCGAGATACAATATAACTTACGAAATAAAATTATGCGCAGTGGATATTTATAATATTCAATAAATAATAATCGAACAATTTAATCAACATTGATTTTAAAATTATAGCGAATCACGGGGTAAATATTTTTGGACTATTATCACGTGATCGAAACCTACATTCGCCACCACCAATCCATTTTGTAGTATCCGATAATTTAACCAGATCATATACCTTAATTCATTAAGCAGACGATCATTCAACGATTAGCTTCTTTTCGATTAATAGATTTTCGATTTGTATCACTAAACGTCATCGCATTCTGAATCAGCTCCATTTTGAAAATGTTATATATCGACTTTTTTTTTTTTACTTTAGATGCAATGATTTTTTTTTTTTTTTTTGCTTGTAACGACGCTTTATATTTTTTTTTATTTAAATGAAATAAACCAACAAAATACGAGCGTGGCCAGCGGAAATTTCCAGATTATAGTTTATTATGGCAGATTTGATTTTTTGGATAATAACCGACTAAGCCTGCTTAGCTGTATCAAATTATCGATTCGGCTAAGCTTATAAGTTTTTAATCGACTACAATTATTGGATGGGATTATGTACCTTTCAAATATCCGTAACAATGTCCCCATGAAAGGC